CGATAAGTGAGTAACACTAAAATCTTTTTATTTTTAAATAATTCTAAGTTAAAATCGTCAAGCCAAAATTATATCTGAAAATGCCACCTTTAATTGTAAATTCTTGAGATTACTTGATATCCGAAGAAAATTAATTCTAAAATGATTCCTCTCCTTTGTTCAAATTAGCTATCGATTTCTAAGAACTGCATGACATTAGAAAGTTATAATTATTTTTATTAACCAAATTGAAGTTAATCATCAATGTTGTTGAGTTTTAGAAGATACAACTTGTATATATTATTATCTTTTGTAAAAGGAAATTATATATTTATATAAGAGATTGTTACAAAAGTAAAAAATAAAATGTTTACTAAAATATGAAAATGTCATAAAACAAAAACATTTATTCTTGGGTTCTAAAAAATCAACTTGTAGTGAATATTAAAAACTGTTTCTAATTCTTCAAACATTATCAAATAAATAAACAAACTAAAATTAATTTTAAAAGATTTATTTATATGTTGAAATTTTGCGATAACTATTATATTAATTGATACGATAACTAATAAACAATGAAAGTTGGCTTATTATTATTAAGATAAAAACGATTAAATATTTATAATAGAATTCGGTAAAGTTCCACCAAAAAATCCATCTATTATAAAAGACAATAACGAAAAAAAATTGAGGAAATAAATTAAATTATTTAATTTTGATGGAGCAAGCTTATAGAATTATTGGGAGTATTTAAGTTATCTATATAATTATAATTAATAATTATTAAATCCAACAAGTAACAAATATTTAAATAAATAGCGATGGGAAAAGCACATTTTTAATCTTCGGCTATATAAATACAATGTAATATGAATTTTAAAGATGATTGATCTTCAATAGTTATTTATTTCAAATTTTTTGATAAAAATACTTTCAAGGATATATATTTAAAGTTCTTTACATTTTTTCATTTTATTCTAAGAATTTTTAGTCAATAATTATTGAATAAATTGTTACAAAGATGTTGAAATAATTAAAATAGAAACACGTCTATTTTAAATAGAAACTCAACTTTATAATTCAAAATAACCTAGTAGAATGGACTTAATGAACTTACTCACTCCACATAAATAAATATACATACTCCTAATGGATTCTTGTCCAAATTGAAACACTTAATCATGTCTTTGGAGACACCCTATGTTCTATTTACCAAAGGTGTGAACTATGTAGTGATTTCTATTTAGAAATAAAAAAGAAGCAAGGTTTCTGACTATGGTATTACTCTAACAACAGATGACTGCCAAATTAATCTGATTCTTCTCTCAAGTAGCAGATCGTGATTAGTGCAAAACAATAGGCCTCTTTTTGGTAGTTGGGACAGTTGTTAAAATTTTTTTTTCTTATTTCTTATCATTCTAAAGATATTAATAATAATTTGAAATATATTACTGATTACTCAACAAAAATTTCAAATACTTTAATCTAACTTTTCACCCTAAATAATCAGTAAATTCATTATTTTACAACATATTTAAGCCTTTCTTTAAAATAAAGTAATTTATTATTATATTGTAAACAATTATTCTTATTCGTTATTATTAAAGCGAATAAAAAGTTGATTTTGAGATATAACAAAATTTAAATTCATGTCTTAAAAAATAAACATAGTTTATGCTCTTCATTTCAAAATATTAAAACAGAATGGAATTATCTGTGTTACCAAAATTAACCTTCAAATTATTAAATTGCATGTCAATTATATATTTATTATTGTAAAAATATTATTTGCTTCAAATTATTTTTCTTTAGAATTATACCTTATATGAAAACTTTTCTCTAATGTTTAATGAATAACTTTAAACCATTCTACTTTTGTCTATTTTAAAAATACTGCAACTTTTTATATCATGTCTTTGATCCTATCTAAAATGTATTTCATCTCTATTTGTCCCTCTTAGTTGCCTACTTCTTTCCGAATCTTGTCTTAAAAAATATTCTCATCCATTAGTTATAAAAAACCATA